TGTGTGTGTGTGTGTGTGTGTGTGTGTGTGTGTGTGTGTGTGTGTGTGTGTGTGTGTGTGTGTGTGTGTGTGTGTGTGTGTGTGTGTGTGTGTAGTCATTCTTACCCCTGAGGTGGGTTCTTGTCCAGCCAGCCCATCTTGATGACAGCAGCGAGCTGAGAGCTGTCGTCTTTAGAGGCCGAGGACAGTCTGCCGGTGTTCGGGAGGTAGACGCTTCCCTGCAGATTTCCAATGCCCCCCTCCTGCCATGGGCTGGAGATTCAAATACACAGAAATAAGCAGTAAAACACACACGCTTAGGGAATTATATTTACAGAAAGAAACCTAGAAATAATGTCCTCATATTAATCCTATTTCTTACTGTATATATAAAAGTTCATATTTTGTATTATAGAAAACATTTGTGTCACTTCTTATTATTTAACTATTAAGGCGCAACAAAACATTTTATAAATTTGAGCTGTATCAGAGTTAGCTACCAGCTAATTTAGATCTGTAGTCCCTTGGCAAAAACATGGAGAATAACCCCTCCGTTAAGTAATAAATAACTTTGTTGTGCAAAAATACAAAAGCAAAAACAGGAGATATTCAATTAACATCAACACAATAGCTCAACATTAAGATACATCAAGTGTACATTATTGGTTTGATTTTATCCATTATTTTATCTTGGATTTAAAATCTCTAGAGCTGCAGCACTCTCTTTTACTTATTCCATTTACAAATGTCTTTTAAGTTGGACATTTTGAAACTCATTTTTAAAAGATCAGTCATCAAACATCATTAGATTAGATTATTCAAAACATCATGGTAACCTTTGCGCACACTACTCTGTCTTATTAATGGCTTTGTTGTACCAATGACTGGCATGAATATAAACAATTTTAGCCTTTTTGTAAACAAGGCATTCATTTTAGATGCACAGAACTGTTATACATGGAGAAACTGAAAAAAGGTTCATTGGTGTTCAAACTACAGTAGGGTTCCTCCAAGGTCAAAAATAGCTTGTGTGATCTAGAAAATGTTCATAAATCATGTTTGATTACAATATTGAGCTCTGTGCACTTTTTACTGATGTACAGTATTCCGTAGGGCTAAACAACAACATCAGGATTCGACAGAAGATCCACTTGTTTTGCTGCCAAATCCAAAAGCTTTAAACTTGGGGTAGGTAAGTTTGAGAAACCGGCTCGAGATACAATTTTTGTTATATTCCATTGAATGTTCTTAACATCCCGATAGCAATGAATATCTTTAGTGCTTTGACAAAAAATCCATAAAAAAATGCCATCTGTGGAAGCCGTAGTACTGTAAAAAGCACGACCAATCATCTGAGCCGGCCCGGCTAAAATAACTGGATGGCCTACCTGCCTGTCAGCCTTCCATCTGTGCACAAACTTATCTCGTGCCCTCATTGGTCATGTGCGCGTTCTTGTGTGTTGGAGGAGGGGCTCTGTAAGGAAGTGGCAGATTTCTTCCGGCTGTGTATTTTCAAATTCTAGCGCACTCAAGCCGGTTTCTCCAAAATTACCTACCCCACCTTTAATGCTCTAAGCTCCCACACCTTTGCAGGCCAGGTGAATACAAAACTTGAAAGACTAGTACAATGTTCCCGGCAAGCTGTCCAATACTTTTATAATTACCGTTTGTGTTATTCTATTGTACAGCCTAATTGTGAGTTTCTGTATATAATACAATGTTTGTATGAGTAAGTGTATGACTCACTCATCATCATCCAACTGCTCATCATCACTGAACCAAGAACTGCGCTTTGCTTTTACATGGCCGGGCACTTGCAGGGACATATCCTATTGGAGGAGACAGCCGTCAATCACATTGTGCAGAAGGAGAAGAGAAAGAAAAATGTCATAGAAGAAGACCTTCTCACTTACCCTTTCGAATCCAGTCATTCGATTAAGACCCGGATTAAAGAAGTCTGGATCCTCGTATTCATCAGAGCTTTCATTGAGTGAATCGAGCCCTGAAGGAGGAAGTAGAAAAGAGAACAAATGTTGCAGTGCTTAAGGGGTAGTTTGTTAGAAGAGGGATGTATGAGGTAATTGTTTGTGTTACAGTAGATGGCAGTGGGCACACAACCAGGTTGAAGGAGCAGACAGGACAATCAGAATAGAAGCAAAGCACTCTACTGATGTGAGCAGCAAACACATTTTAGGTTCCTAAATAAAGTCCCACTTACAAAGAAATCAACATCAGTTTTTTACCACTTTAACTTGCCGTCTAAAGTGGTTATCCGTGCCCTCTTTAAAGCCATCAGACTATATTCACAAAGGCAAGTGCCGCCTGACAGTAAGCTGTGCACTCTAATTTATATGCTTTTTTTTTTAGGTGAAATACATCTTTTAGTTTGGTAAAATATGTGTTGCTGCCCATCTGTTTCTCAAAACTGGGCGAGTGCCAACCATAATCTAATGTCTGTAATACACTTTGATGGATAAGCACCTTATACAACCCAATTTTTAACAACTATCCGCTTTAAAGTTAGTGTTGCAGATTTGGTTTGGTTTGCAGGACAACTTTAAGACGCTGACACCGTTTTCAAAAAGAACACACATAATATGATGTTCGATCAACATAATAAAATAATTGGATTGCATACAATTATTTTGTTTCCGAATAGAACAGTAGTACATTCGTAATGACACCATAGGATTTAGACAAGGCTCAATTACCCATAATGCAACATAGCTATATTTAAGACATATTGCTTTTTTCAAACAGGCGGGTTACTTTTTTCTGACTTGGAACAAAAGCAGCATTAATGCTTTCTGTGCTTCCCGTATAGTATCAGTTTGCTCTGCAAGTACATAGTTGATTATATTTTCAGTTGGGAAACAAGAAGTCAAGAATATAATGCTGAATATATTTGGCAGAATAGACGTACAGTACAAAGAAAACATTTCACTTTGAGCGTACATTTTGAAGCCAACTTCACATGGCCTCAGTATCAACCCAGAGATAAACTCAAAGTGTTGACATTCTTTCTCTGAGGGTTACTAGACATCACTCTGGGAAATTCCGTGAAAACCTAATAGAGCAAGAGTGGGGCATTTGGATATGATACAAAGTAAATTACAGCAGTGAGTTACTTATCTGCGTCAGAGTGTTATGTGTTAATGCATGCTTGTGGACACAGAAACTAAATGGTCTAGGAAGGACATCAGAGAGAGTCTCTATCTAAGTTACTATGCAAGAGCTGCCTGTGTGAAATTATGAAGGTTGTTTTTAAGAAATATTATTAAGTCTAATTATCTCACATTTTTCTTTCAGTTTTAAGATGGACATTTTTGCAGTATGTGAACAGACCCTACTTGTAGATCTTCGTGAACATTTTCATCTCTTTTTCTTTGTTGAGCTACTGGTTTTTACAGGCACGGTCGGTGTCATGTCATTAATTTGATTTAAATGACATTTACAGTGGGAGTGTTAAGGGTACTTTTGTTACCAGCAACATTTCATGTTAAAATAAAAGGTTTACCATTTATCTACAATTACTGGTAAAAGTTGCCTAATGAAAGATGTCTTTACAAGCTCATATGTTGAGGTACAAACATTGCAATAAGGAGATTTTAGTTAAATAATATTTCAGAAGCATTTAAACAAGATTTACGGAAAGTGAGAATAAATCATCTTCTTTTTTTATTGTTTTCACAGAAATGTATGTTTGACATAATTCCCTGTGCCTTTAGGGAATAAAAGGTGGACAATGAACTCGGGTTCAATTTTGAATAAGAAACGGACTCACAATAGGGCTAAGATGTCACAATGATATAAGGTTTTCAATTAAATTATTACTGTGGTCAGAAGAATTCACAAAAAACAATAGTTTGCATATTTATAGAACATTTGGGGAAACATTTTTGCAGCGATATTTGTATTTCACTTTGTTGTGTGTTTGTGTCTTTTTTTGACTGATACTGTACATAACACTCAAAATACTTTTGTATGAAGTTGGAGGAAACATATTTTCCAATAACTGAGCAAAAGCAAAATATCTAAGAGGTGCTGGATTAGTTAAACGATCATGGGTGTATTATGAACCCAAAAGTGTTATATCCTGAATATACTACTTACTGGATTCACGGGGGGGTTGGGGGGCTCTCCTTGCAGGCAGCGCTGGCTGAGCGACAGGCTGGGTGGACTGATGTGCGTCTTCTAGAGTTTGCGGTGTCCTGATGCGAGGAGGGACCTGTGGAGTTTGGTCTTTCTGGATGTCATCAGCAACCGTCTTGATGTGAGAGGGGCTGGGGGATAAAGGGTCACAGGTAAGGTCAACAGATGTTTGAGGAGCAGGAGAAGAGTCCTCGGACACCGCAGTGCTCGGATGTTGGGTGAAAATCCAAAGAAGACGGCCGATTGCATACATCCTCCTGTCTTGTCATTCCATAGTGAAAAGTACATGGACCAACTGCTAAAGGAAAAAGTTGCAGGCAACCAACTTGTCCTTTTTGTCCCAGAAATTGATCTCAGAGTAGTTGCAAACCTGCGTTCCTCTGCTCCTCTCCTGACTGTCTGAATGTTTTTCAAATTCTGGGTAAAGCAGCAAGTCCGAGCCTGCCTCATCTTGAAATATATCTTCATGTAAACACAGCATACCTTTGGCTCCACTGATAACACACAAACACATGTGTGAGCTATGTGCCTTAACCTGTCGTACAATATAATGTAGTGAAACATTTAAGCTGTAACAATTGGCACAGCTGTTATGACACCGACGAGGAACCTAGGTTGAAATCCAGCTTTCACAGAGTCGAATTCAAAGCTGCTAAACAGTTGATGTTTGCTACATTTGATTACATCTAATGCAGACCTAAAATATTTTAATCACATGCATGATTTCAGGACAGCTTACTAAATATCGTGATAATACTGTTTATAATCATGGCACACATGAAATACTTAACATGTGCAATAGTGTTACTCACAGTACACACTTGTGTATCAATCCAGTTTCTTCTGATGCTTCTTCTGGGTTGGGTTGTGGTGGCAGCAGGCTAAGTTTCTCACTACTTATCTCTATCAACCATAATATTCAGGGTTGATCTCACACACAATCTTAACCTCCCTTTTCAATAACACCTCGGGATATTTTTACTCCGTCTCTTTGGACAACTTGTTCCAACTGCTTGCATTTATCGTGCAAGTTCAATATTGTCTGCAATAATAACAATATTACTTTGTTTTCTTCATAGAAAACACATACAGGGTCAGAAGACCTGACATTACAAATAACCTGCGATTCATCAAACTTTACCACAGCTCAGTTCTGCTTCTGTTTGCATAGACAGATCAGCCAACTGGAAAGAGAGTTACCGGTAAGTTACTAATGTGGTTTTGAATGTGAAGACAAAGCACATAAGGAAAGTGCCTTTGATATACATGTTTATTAAAATATATCTTACATTGTTGCATTTTTGCTATTAATAAAAGAGCGTTCATAATCCGCAATATCCTTCATACTTGAAGTTCACTTGTATTTAAAAAATAGCATAGGCTAAAGAAAACTGCATGACATTTACAAACAACCCAATAAAGAACATTTGCTGCTGAACATCTATTAAACTGTTTGGTTGAACATTTTTCTTATTGTTACCACTATTTTATCCGAAAGTTAACATCATCATTTCAAGCTGACGGGACAGTCAAGAATTAGCACACAGGCGTGGTTTCTATTCATGCAGTATTGTGAAAGTTCCTCTTTTATCCTCCTTTTTTTGTGGATATCCTTCTCGTTACAGTCTAATGGTTAACTTTCAAGATTTCAAAGCTTGAGAAATATTTGTTAATAATTACTGCAAATGGCGCAAGAACGAACATATCTAATATTTCACTTAGTTTCCCAAATAAATCTTCAGTTGCAAGTTCCACATACCTGAGTGGAATACTATCAGAATAACTATTACTGATTTGTTTTAGGTTGAAAAGGCTTAAGGCTTAAGACAAAACTTAAAAAACAGTTTGGACAATTTCCCTGGTAAGACAAATTTAAACTGCTGGTTTAATGCTTCATTTAGTGAGATAAACAATGTCTGAATTAGCTGGCAGAACGCCTACATATATACAAAACGGAGATTATGAGTAAGCCATTCCACTATGTGGACAAATGGCTTTTTTTGTATGTTCCTTCCCTTCCAGCACAATAAACTAATTAATGATGTAGCAAACCATACTTTAAATTAAACTTGACTCTTAATTCATATGATATTCCTTTGCTCTGTTGAATAATAATCCAGAAGATGATAAACAATGACGGGAAACTAACCTGTTGACACAGTTCCTCCTTTTACTCAGAGGAAGAGTGCTGAGAGGGGATGCTAGCTAAATGCTATATTTAACCTGCGATCTGCTAGCTAATGGAGGTCAAGAACTAAAGAAACAACAACTGCTCCTTTCCCCTCCCAAATTGTGTGCATGTGAACTTATTCGGGGAACATTTCTACCCCTCATGCTGAGATCATGTAACAATAGGTAATGGATGGTTTTAAGAGTTACTGTCAAATACATTTTAAGCTAGCATATGTGGTGCTAGGTTCAAAATGTAGCAGTTTATCATCATTGGACAGCACCAAGCTATTTCATGCTGTGGCACAAAGTCAATGTGTCAATTATTTATAGCCTCTGTTTGAACAACGGTCTGTTTGACATCGCTGATAGTGAGTGCTGAAAGTAAAGCTAACAGTAGGCTACAGTTTTTCTCTAAGAAAAGACCTGATTTCTCTGACAGCTAAACACCCCAAAGTATCTATTTGCAAAATATCATCTTACTGGGTTTTTTAACCCTAACCCTGGTTTTTCGCAGACATACCGGTCATACCCTAATAACACTGTCAGTCCTCTAAAAGTGTACAGCTCCAGGACAGGACTGGACAGGATAACTGGTCACAAACAGGATCATTTTGAACAAAATGATATACTCTGGTAGGTAGGTAAAACAAAACTCAAGTAACAGGATAACATCTCCACTAACAGCACTTGGTTTTCTATTCACTGAAAAGTGTAGTAATAGCAGAAAGGATTACAACACAGCAAAAAAAGAAAGGCTTCCTTGTGGAAACTACCACACAGAACAGAGTAAGGGATTACTTATAAGAAGGCGAGAGTGCATGCTAAACACAAGTAGAAATAAAAAAGAGACAAGATTAATGTCAATGTTACCTGTTACGACATGTTCAAAAGGAGTCCTCTTCAGTGGCAAAACAACAACCGTAAACACACACATGCAAGCCAGAGGAGAGGAAGGATAAAGGAGGAGGAAATGACCAGTCACAAGAAGGTGGGAGGAGGCAGTGAAGCACACTAACAAGGAAACATCAGAGCGTGTGAATGTGTGCTCTTAAAAGCTACAAACAGTTTGAAGATAGTCCCTGGTAACAACCACTACAGTCTTTTCTTTCTCCATTTAGTTTTCACTCTCTCTATTTCCCCATGTCACTCAGACAGGCTAATGAGGAGGGTTGTAAACCGCTCCGTTTTGTTCTTCATTGTAACTTCCTCCCTCTCTCTCTAGAGCTAGTTTCCCTTTCAAAGCACAGACAGAGATCATGCATATGTTGCTCATAATAGAAGTACTCCTGAGGACAGGCCTAGGTTTCTTTCCCCTTACTGGCAAGATACAGATAACATCTTGCATGTGATCACCAGGAAGTACACAAAAAGACATATGATAAAGACTTGCTAGCCTTTCAATCTAGTAGAAGAAGAAAAGTTTGCAAAAGAAAAAAATGCATCCTCTTAAAAACATTTAATTGCACATCCACAATTGTGCAAACACATAAATGTCCACAAAGAGAAAAACACAAAAATGACCTGTGAAAATTATTTAAATCCTGCATTATTTTTCACACATTTACACAGTGTAGGAGTATAAAAGTTCAGACAAAGTAACCATAGATCCTTTGAACAACACACACGCATGAGCAACCACAAATACACACGTCAGATGTACACACATTTCCGTGTTCAATGAGCCACAAAGCTAGGTCCACTCCTTCAGTCAATGTTCTTCAGCCATTCAGTTTCAGGAAGTGTCTATTTTTTATTTCAGGAAGTGTTTAAAGTCACCAATTATATGTTTTGTGACTTAACTGATTCTTAAAGAGATGCAAGGATCCCTTTTGTCCAATAGGGGGCAGTACAATCCTTTAAGAACTAAAACAAGTGTAGAGTTGAGATTCTTGAAATGTTTTTAACAAACACACAATCAAACTATCACTTATCAAATCATTCAAAGCTGTCTTTATAATTTACCCTTTAATACAGCACCCTTACTCACTCAGACAACGAGCATGTTACTATATCTTACTATCAAAGCAGTCCTTTGCTCTAAGTTAACCCACATATACTGTAGTACTGATGGCAAAACATGTACTTTAAGTGGGATGGAAAACTTATACCATAACTATTGTCCTGTAAAGAGTTGCCCTTTAATAAAACAGGGAAGAGGGGGAGGGATTAACTGGAAAAAAGTAGTCTTACCTGTGAGTTCTGGGAGAGTGTGCAGGTAGCCGGTGTGGGATTGGTGGAGGGCCTTTAGGTACCGCCCCTACCTTTGGAGGAAGAGGTGGAGCACTTATTCCATCGCTTTGGGGAGCAGTGGGGGATACGGGTGAGATTTGTCTTCCTCCATCACTCCCCAAATGATGGGCAGGCGGCTGAATGTCTAATGTCTGAGGCCGAGTTCGGGCAGACGGGGTTTCAGGAGGGGGGAGAGGTGCATGTGTGGGGGAACTATGAAACACTGATCGGCTCTGTACAGTTGGGGTTTTAAATGCATGTCTGTCCAGTTTAGGAGAGACAGGGGTTCGAGCAGCAGGTGAGGGGCTCAGGGGGGAGGAGAAGCACTGTGGAGGGCAGTTGGGGGTGCTTCGTGGAGGGACAGGGGGCAAAGAAGGGTCAGCAGTTGGAGAAATAACTTGACTTGGGTCACAGTCGTCTGGAGGACTAGAGAGAAACCTGGTCCTTTCTTTAGGCACAGGCCTCCTCCTCTCTCCATCTCCTCCCCCGTCCCTCTCCTCCTCCTTCCCTCCTCTAGCTGCCGTTTGTCTTTGTTCAGGAACTGGCTTCTTCTCTTCTGCTTCTCCGCTCTCCTCTTTCATCCTGTGCACCTGGCGCTCCCTGGGGACTGGTTTCTCTCTCTCCCTGGGTGTAGGTCTTGATGTCTCTCCATCTCTTAACCCCCTTTCCTTAGGGACAGGTGTATCTTCCACTGGGATAGGCACAGCTCTTTCTCTCTGCAACACTTTGGGGGGTTCAGTTTCCTCCGGTCTCTGGTCTCTCTTAGGCGGTAAGATGTAAGAGTATGTGTCAATTTGTGCGTCGCTCTTAGCATGTGTTTTGTTCAGGCTAGCCAGAATGCGTCTCTGGTGCCCTGGCAGGGTGATGCCCATCTGATCCAGTGTTTCGGATGTGAGGTTGCGACATTGTAGAAACGATGCTAGTCCGGCGCTCCGAAAAGCCTCGGAATACTGCTCCAGACGAAGAACGCTTAACCAGTCCCACACAGTCAAACAGGATTCAGACATGACTGGTGTGTGTGTGACTGCAGCATGTGGGAGGGGAAGTCTACGTCCGCAGAGAAAATGCAGACCTCAGATCATGGCCTGTTGAAGAAAACATGTATTAACAAAAAGCACTCCATTCTTTCGAGGTTATAAATGGTTTAATAAAGTGTTTTCAAATGGGACACAATTAAACACAAACATGCATCAGCTCGAAACAAAGATGTTCTTCCTAAAAATTCATAATTGTGCGTCACTGGTCTGATTATATACCAAATGATGAAAGATACTTTCTTTGTTCTTAACTAATTTGGGAAATCATGCATTGAGAAATGTTATGTTATGCTTCCCGAAAGACAAATACTGATGATTATTAACATTTATGATGACGGTAGTATACATATGACAGTTGGATATATTTATAGACTGTAGTGTCAAGGTGTGATGAATTGCTCTCAGGGTTGGTGACTATCTAGTCGCTTAAAGAGGAAGTTGTGTTGACGCTTCTTCAGTAAGATCCCCCAATCATTTGGAAATGCATTGTCATTCTCAGCAGTACTTGTGCTCACTTTGAGGTCTATAGACAGCTTTAAAAAAGATAATAAAGAAACCTTTGTTTCAGAAAGTGCTTAAATCAAATGATCATATTTTATGGGTGTCACTCATTCGAGGCAAACATATAGGAGTGTTGTGTAAGCATAAAAGCACATATTTTGAAAAAGGAACCACTTAACTTGAAGATTATTCCTTTTGGGCAGCACCTTCACACAACAGCCCACAATTGAGAGGAAGTGTAGTTGACACAACAAGTATTGGCACACAACGCACGTCCACACAGACTCACCCAATTCTCTCTTCATCTCTCAAACACACACTTGAACGCTGCATAAGTGGATTCAAGATAGGCTTACCAGAAAGCAACCCCATATTTATCCATTTGCACTCTCTCAACGTGCAGTCCACTCTAGGTTTCAGTTTCTAATGCTGTGTGACTTTAAAATATGAATATGAATAATGAACGTGTGACCGTGTTTGAACTGTCGAGGTATGAGGATGTCTGTATGAAGTTTTCACACGAGCCACAATGCCTTGATAAGGAAACAGGGAATATCCAGCTGCAGTCACATGATGCAAACCCGCCTGCCTGTGAGAAATATATAAGAGAGGACTATTGTTGTTGTTGTGATGCAGAAAGAATAGCTACAGCATGTCAAAAACATCAATAAAGATCAACCTGATAATACTTACACTGCATTCACACTGTTTTATCTCAGCCTTGTACTTTGACCACAGGGGAAGCTGATAGTTTTAAGACCGAGCCACAAACAGTCTAATTCTCTCCTAAACACCAACACATACTTTAATGTGGGAGCCTATGAACTGAATATTCATTGTGGTGACCTGTTAATGTGCCTAGGACAATAATAAGCACTTTGTTTGTAATTTATGTATAGCTTAATACAAGGTCCACCACCTAATCACCCTGTTGGACTTTAAATAACGTTTTTGTTAGCTCCTGAAACAGTACTCCAGAGAGAGTGAAATGTACCCAACAATGACAAATAACAGAAAATTAGCTTGAATTATATTACATTCCTTGACCATTTTACTGGATTTTAGATACAATTACATTAAAAATATTCAAGAATAAGTAGCTAGTTTTGTTCATCTGTAGTACACAGAAGCATTAGATGTATTACTAACAGCAGAGGCAAACAAGAAATGAAATCCTGAGTAAGACCTTATTTTTTACCTGGGTAGCTAGCAGTGGAAGGAGGCTGAGCACAAAATCCAGTCCGAGACATGCTATTTGCCAGTGTGTGAGTATGTACAAACAAGGGCATTTCATTTCCTGTCAAATGTTTCCTCTAACAGGGCAAAGACCACAGAGTACAGGCACAGGTTGAATCTTGCTCTCTTATCAAACATAGTTCCTATTCTTGAATTGAGGAACTCTTTGCTCAGAAACATGATGAATTACAGTGTGATGTGTCTTCAGCCGTCATCTGGGAGTTGCTCATAAACTAAACAAGCACACTCAGTTCAAAAATGACATTAGAACAGACACAAATAGATATTAAACCGGTCTCAGCATATTTGACCAGATATATTTTTCACCTCAGCAGTTTGGTCTAAAAGCCCTTAATCAGCTTTGTTTTTTTACATAAAGACTGAGAATTTTTTTTGATTACAATAAGTGACAAAGCTGCTGCAATAATCAAGATACAACGTGATAAAAGCATAACAGATCATTTCTGATGAGCACATTTAAAACGGAAAAGATTGCAGCCACTGATAGCAACATTAATTGTTCATTGATGGAAAACACTATGAGTGTCTCAAGGTTCAATTCACAAAAGTTATTGCACTAATAATATCAAAGCACAAACATGGCCATAAAGTTATGAAGCTCAGTGCAATTTGCCCTTTGTGGCAAAGAACAAATGTTAATGCAACCCAGTAGACACAACAATAGCAGAGAGAAAAACTAAAAATTGATTTGCAGACCATAAACTGCAGGTCCTAAACTATCAAGGTTCCTCTAAGATTCAGGCAAGGAAATGTTTACGTAACGCAAATAAATAATACTTTGGGTCTAATATCCAAGTCTGTCGGTTCAAATGTATTTTAGTTCCCAGCACCTCTCTGAAGACGCAAGCAAATTCACTTTAACTGCATGTGGCTATTGGTGCAGATCTTTGGGAATTGGATTGTTTTTACAATTAGGCTAATTTGCATAGAAAGGGGCTAATGTATCACTAAATGCGTGCATGTTACCTCATTTAAATACATGCATATAGTACAATAGTGGGAGCTCTGAGACAGTATTAGCTTGGCAGCACAGTCAGGGGTGCCTTCACGCTTTGGAGGAACATTGTGAATTATACAGTTTCTGTTTGTCTTGTAAGTGCACGTTTAGCAGTCACATAGACTGTGCAAAGCTTTTGTGATATTGCCTGTGAGACAGTATCTAGCAGATCATCTGAAATATTACATAACTAATTAGAAAGTTGAGATTTTTTTGCAACAGACTTGATTTTGACATTGATTTGTCTGACTAAACTCAGTGGCTTACAAGTGTGTGGGTCATCTTCATAAACGTTAACAATACTAATCTTATTTATAAAGCACTTTTCAATATTATGTAAAAAATGATATCAAAGTTAAAAGAATTTGCAGAAAATTGATAATAAGGAACAAACTCTTGGATTTAGAAAACAAATAAAACGTGCTAAACATAGATGATATTAAAGGTCCCATGTCATGGCCACTTCAGCAAACATTTCAGAGCTTTGTGGACGTAATCCATGACAAAGTGGAGTTGAGACCAGGAGGAGGAGTCGCAGTTTTATATGTTTCTCTGCACTCTCTCCAATAAAATACCCAATATTAACGGTGTGTGTGTCTGCCCAAGGACAATTTAAAGTGAAACCTAATAGAGGTGTCACACATAATAACTTAATAAAAGTAAATGTAACAACTACTACAGTGCAACAAAACAGGAAGATTAAATGTGGTCTCTTAAACATAAGATCTCTAGCATCTAAAGCAATATTGATAAACGATTTAATATCAGATTATAATATTGATATATGCTGTCTCACTGAAACTTGGTTGAGACATGAAGAATATGTCAGCATAAATGAGGCCACTCCACCCAGCCATATCAATACTCATATGGCCCGAGGCACGGGCCGAGGAGGTGGAGTTGCAGCAATCTTTGACTCAAGTTTACTTATCAATACTAAACAAAAATTAAATTATACCTCCTTTGAAAGTCTTGTTTTTAGTCTTACTAAAAGACGAGGCGCATTGTCTACCTGTACTTAGAGTCGACGTCTTGTCTAATAGTACACTGTCCAGCTC